CTGTCTGTCTGTCTGTCTGTCTGTCTGTCTGTCTGTCTATCTATCTCTATATAAGAGGCTAACTATTGTCTCCCAAATGAAGGTGGAGGGGAGCAGCAGCAGCATGGTATGGCCCGATCTCATCAGACCTCAGAAGCTAAGCTCGGCCAGTACTTGGAAGGGAGATCTCCAAGGAAGACTCTGCAGAGGAAAGCAATGGCAAACCACTTCTGCTTCTCACTTGCCTTGAAAGCCCCTTGCTGGGGTCACCTTAAGTTACCATAAGTGAACTGACAGCATTTTACACACACACTCAACAGGGTGGGGTGGGGGGTGTGAAGTTCTAAGAAAAGAGGCATTGTAATCAGCTGATCTTTCACAAATTTTGGCCCTTTCTGCATGCACAGCTCACTGTGCTTACTCCGGAGAATCTGAGCAGTTGAACCATTACGGTTGACTTCGGATTTTTTGTGCCTGCCCTTCTGCACCACCCTTTTCCTCCAGTTTATTTCTTGTGTGTCCTGTGTGCGCATTCTGCATCTCCAACAAAACCTGCATTTTTTGCTTAATTGGGGTGGAGACTTATGATGTGTGGGGATGTCTAATGGCCGTATTGCAGATGTGCATTAGCCTCCAGTAAGCGCCTTCCATTTAAATCCTCCTTGTTCAGTTCTGTGAATGAAACTGACACGAGGAAGCGGCCAAGAACTTGGCCAAGCCGACACACAAGCAATGGGGCACACCGCAGCCTCACCTTTCTCTCCTCCTCGTTCCCCCACCCCCCTCTATGGCTCAGCACCATTGGGCTACTCTGGGCATGGGTGACCCATAGAGAGACACTAGCTTGGAGGTTGGCTAGTCTGTCGGTCAGTTTGTGCTTCAGTGGCGGCGGCAGCCACTGTGGCGATGGTTGTGGAGTCACGGCCAGAGCTGGTTGGGGCATGGTTCCTCTGAGGGGTGGAGGAGGGAGAAATCTTTCCAGCGGAAACACTTCCAGAGAGCAGAGTTTTTCAACTTGCAGGAAGAAGTCCAATAAAAAGTAGATGTTTCGCTCCCTCCATCCTTCTGCCTCATATTGAACCATATGTATGTGCGGGGAGGCAAACAGCCGCTCCCAGCAACTGGAACCAGCATTGCTGGTGTGGAGAACCCATCTTTGCAAGAAATCTTGCCTTGCTTTCCCCCAAAAAATGCATCAAAGTGAATCAAAGAAAGAAAAAAGAAAGACAGATTTAAGCTCAACCACACTGCTGATTGCCTCCTTGCACCAGGTACCAACTGGCAGAGGCGTGCTCAGAGCCTTGGCCATTTTACAGAATGCAGAGAGCTTTTTGGCTTAATGGCAGAAAGTGAAGAGGACCTAAAGAGCCTCTTTCTACGAGTGAAAGAGGAGAGTGCAAAAGTTGGCATGAACATAAAAAAAGAAGATCATGGCATCCGGCCCCATCACTCCTTGGCAAATAGAAGGGGAAGTCATGAAAGCAGTGACAGACTTCACTGCAGACGGTGACTGCAGCCATGAAATTAAAAGACGCCTGCTCCTTGGGAGGAAAGCGATGGCAAATCTAGACGGCATGATAAAAGTAGAGACATCACCCTGCCAACAAAAGTCCATATGGTCAAAGTGATGGTATTCCCAGTAGTAATATACGGCTGCGAGAGTTGGACCATAAGGAAGGCCGAGCACCAAAGAACAGATGCTTTTGGATTATGGTGTTGGAGAAGACTCTTGCGAGTCCCTTGGACTGCAAGGAGATCGAATTAGTCAATCCTAAAAAAAATCAACCCTGACTGTCCCCTGAAATAGAAGGCGAAGTCGTGGAAGCAGTGACAGAATTCACGTTCCTGGGATCCAAGATCACTGCAGATGGTGACTAAAGCCATAAATTTCCTCCTTGGGAGGAAAGTGATGGCAAACCTAGGCAAAACATTCAGAAAACCCCAGGGAAACAGCAGAGGGAAACTCAACTGAGAGCTGAATAATGCAGAATTTTAAAATAACCCAGCAGAAATGCAAAATTTAAGATATACAGCAAGTCGAAAGTGGAAGGCCATGCAGAATACAAAATATATGCAAGGCAGAACAGTTGTGAGTGTGGGAAATAACCCAGTGCAGAGAGAGTCTTTCTTCTGGGTATATTTCAGATTAAATGCAAATAAGCAATACACTTGAGGAGCATTTGTTGATATTTTGTTTTATGCCCTATAATAATTACAGCAATGTAATTAGCCCACGTTAAACTGTCATTCCTATTTATTTTTAAGTGAAGGGGTTTGTGGCTTTGTTATCCATACCTACTAAATGTGCCAATTTAACCAATTATAATAATTACCACATGCAACCCACCCTGTCCTACTAATTTAGCTTACTCCTAAGCGAATGTGCAGAGAATTGCAGCCATTGTTGTACTGTACCAGTCAAGAGATTAGAAATAAAGGTACTCCTGAAGAAAATCATGTGAAGTCTGAAAAAACATCGAGGGAGACAACCAGTTTCTCTAAATGACATCTTTTTACTGTCACCCTTTTTACCAGGGACTTCCTGGCTCTTAGTCACTCAATGACACTTCTTCTCCGCGCCCCCATGGCCCAGACCCCGCCAGGCCCTCCTGTCTTCCGCCGTCCTCTGAAGTTTGCTCAATTTCATGTTCGTTGCATCGATGACACTGTCTAACCATCTCATCCTTTGCCATTCCCATCTTCTTTGACCTTCAATCTTTCCCAGCATCAGGAAACACTAGAAATCTATATATTTAAAAAAACAGCCTGTTCCTTGCTTTCCACACTCCCATCACAATTCTAACATGATCAGGATGGTAGGATTAGCCCCACCCCATTTCTGTTCTTATGGGCATTCCTTAGGACTCTTAGGGCATACTCCTAGGGACACAAAAACCAAAGAACCAGTGGTACAGTGATTAAAGTGCTAGAGTAGGATCTGGGAGACCCAGGTTTGAATCCCCACTCTGTGACAGAAACTTTGGGCCAGTCACCCACTCTCAGCCTAACCGACCTCACAGGGTCGTTGTAAGGCTAAAATGGAGGCGAGGAGAACAACGTAAGCTACTTCCAATGCAATCCTAAACCGGTCTACTCAGAATGCTATGGAAATGGATTCAGTGGGGCTGACTCCCAGGAAAGTATACTTCTAATGCAATCCTAAACTGCTCAGTCCACTCAGAATGCTATGGAAATGGACTCAGTGGGGCTGACTCCCAGGAAAGTATTCTTAGCATTGCACTGTTAAGGTCCTCATTGGGGAGGAAAGGAAGAGTAAAAATCTGCTCTCCACCCTGACACCGAATGCCCTGCTCCTATTAGCACTGGCCTTCTGTTACCTACCAGCAGAGAAGAAGGCCTACAAGGAAACGTGTCCTGCATGGAGGACTGAGAGACATGCTCCACACTTCTCTGCAGGATCTCTACCGGCCAGTGACAGCATGTTTTTTACTGGGTGATCTTAAGCAGAGTTAGAAAGGTGTAAGTCCATGGAAGTCAACGGGCTTCCAAGGGTGTGATTCTGCTTAGGATGGCACCCTCAGTGTAAGGAGTAAGGATTTTTGTGCTTAGCACAATAGAGCGATGGCAGATGACCTGTGAGATGACCTGTTCTCCCCAAGTGCCTTCTGCCTACATGCGCCACCATCACAATGATGGAGAGTTTTCTGGTTCAAATCAAAATCTCCTTTATCCCCCTTGCTCCAAAATTCTGAACCCTCCTGTAGTGCATTAAAAAAAAGAGAACTGGATCAATCTTGTTGCTTATACAAACACATAAACACCTCGCAACTGGGGGAACTAAATGTCACATAGTGATTGATGTCTTTCACAACCTCTTTGCTTTAAAAAAAAGAGAGATGTTGAACATGAGTTGAGGGCATTGTTGCAATTATTATAAGGCATAAAAATATAACCACGATATATGGATAGAAAATATGTATAATGTAGATTGCAAAACATACTGTTTATGTCTACAGCCAGTTGTGGTTCCAAAGCATGCATGCAGACCCGCCACCCCACCCCACACACACACATTTGCTAGTTATGTACACTGAAATGCTTTCTATGTGAAGAAGCTCTCCAGTTCTGTGAAAATGCCAGAATTTCTGGGAATAGAAGATGCAGTAGTCCTCGGTCAAAGTGTGCAATAACTGTTTAGCAAGAAAAAAAGAATGTTTGCACTCAGGGGCTAATTAATTCATTATAAATTTATCTCCTTGTCTTCCACCCTGGAAAGCAACACAGCTTGCATAGGATTTCTAGGAGGTCTCCTATCCAGATGTGTTGCTGACCAGCCCCACCTCTGCTTAACTTCCACAAGGTTGCTCCATCACATACACTCTAGCCACATCCTGGGACCTCAGGTAAATGCTATCGTGCTTTCTTTAAATTTCTGCAGGACAGTTGCCTACACCCACTTCAAGACTTTGCATTTGTTTTCAGGCATTGTAAAATAACCAGGGCTGATGTAAAGGCAGTATTTTCAGTATTAATTTGCAAAACTGAGTACATAGTCATATTTGTTCTCTGTGCTGCTTGATATAGGAATTCAAAAACATTATATAAAGCACCTTTCTAATAACATAAAAACAAAAAGAGTCTAGTCTGAGGGCGGAGTGATCATAGTTTTATAATGGTTGTGTTGTATTTGTTTTACGCTTCATTTAAAAGATTACTTCCCACCGTAGTGTGCGCTTTGAGAGGAAGTAGGAATTCCAATGTAATAGTGAAAATCATTCTATTACTTAGTGGTTGATGCTTAAATTCAATGATTTAGATTCCCTGGATTTGATACAAACGTTGTTGGTATGAACACATAAGGGAAATGTGGTCAGTGTCTCATTACTTTCAGATGCTTGGGATTCATGCTATATAATAATTGTAATTTTACTTTCTAGGAGGTAAGAGGGGAGACTTAGAAATTCAAGTAATATTTCTAAACAATTTTTGTATACATATATTGTTGCTGTTTGCCCATATAAATGAAGACACACAAAAAAGCGAAAAGCAAATTGACTTACCAATTAACGGGCTTTTAACAGGTAGGTGCAGAAGGCTTGATTCTTTGGACCAGACGCGTTCTCAAAACCAGAATAGATACTTAGCAGAAATAAGAACCCTTTCCTGTGTGAGGAAAGAACTGTTCAAGTTCTGCAAATTTCTGACAGACAAATCTTTCTCTTTAAAAAAAAAAAAAGAAAAAGAAAAGTTCCCTTCCAATAATAACCCTTTGCCCGACAAGCACGTCAAAAATCTGTTTCCGTGACACTGCAGAACACTCTGAAAACGGCCGATTGTCTTGCTACTCTGAGGACTTTTTATCACACAATCTTGGGTGAGAGCTCAAATTATCAAAGAAGCAAAGGGTATTTTGTTTCAGATCTTTCATCTGCACATTTTGTTGTTCAAGGTCTGTAATGAACCCAGTAAGAATCAATATGGAAAATGTGTTCCTCTACATGTCTTCCCACATCTGTGGAGCAGAGATAACAAGATCAGAAATTAACATCTGGCTCTTTAGTTCACTCTTCTTCCAGCTAGCTCACAGAGCTCCTCGCATACCACAGAGGCAGGTCCCGTCATTTCAGCTGTAGAACTTAGGGTTGCCAGGTCTGGGTTGGGAAATACCTGGAAACTTTGGGGGTGGAGCCAGGAGAGGGTGGGGTTTGTGGAGGGGAGGGGCCTCAGCATAGTACAATGCCCTGGAGTCAACCCTTCATAGCAGCCATTTTCTCCAGGGGAGCTGATCTCTGTCAGCTGGAGATCAGTTGTAAAAGCGGGAGAACCCCAGGCCCCACCTGGAGGCTGGCAACCCTAGTAGAACTGCATCTGCAATTCTGCTTCGTGTTGCTTTGGAAGCCTTTATTTCAACAGGGTGTGGCACTTGCCTCCTACATCAAAATATCACTTCCTAGCTTGGACACTGCATAGCAACTGGCCTCAAAATACGAGCCCGGTGAGCAAACTGAAGCCCCCATTCACATAGAGAAATATAAACCCAGCTGCCAGGGTTTGGACCAGTGTGCTCTCTAAGCTGAGTTAGTGTGAGCTAGCTCACAGTTTTTAAGCCTCTAGCTCACAGATTTTTGTCTTAGCTCAGGAAGGAGGGCTCCAGAGCAAACTAATTTATGCAGCAGCCAAATCGCACACTCACAACTTTAATGCCAGTAGCTCAGAAAGTATAATTTTTGCTCACAAGACTCTACGGTTTAAAGGGAGCATTGGTTTGGACTTGTTTCTAGCTTCAAGGAGTTTTCATAAAGGAACTTTCCCTTTTAATGGTCAGTTTCTAGCCCTGATAGGGTTGCCAGGTTCCCCCTGGCCACTGGTCTATAAAGTTCCCGGTCTGTAAATAGGTGCCACCTTACGGTCCTTGGAGGAAAGGCAAGATACAAATGTACTAAAAATTTCCTGGTGCAAGAAATCTGTTAGAACCATTTACTTTGTGGCCACCATCATCCTGGGTGGATGGCACAGGCTTGCCTGATCTCACCAGATCTTGGAAGCTAAGCAGAGTTAGCCCTGGTTAGTACTTGGATGGGAGACCTCCAAGGAAGGCCAGGGGTCACCATGCAAATGTAAGCAATGGCAAACCACCTCTGAACATCTCTTGCCTTGAAAATGCTATGGGATTGCTATAACTCGACTGCGACTTGATGGTACTTTTCCACCACCACCGTCATCCGGGGTGTGTGCAGCACTGTGAAAAAGCCCCCATTAATACTGGAGCTCTATGCAACCATCCAGAATTCTAAGAGGTGTTTTAACGTTCTTTAATGTTCGTTGACATTCTTTAGTGATTGTGCATTGTTCCTCACAGGGAACTAATTGCCAGGAGACACTTTCACGATTACTTTAGGTTCTTGAATGAGACATCCCTACCAAAGCCAAGAGAAGATGTAGGAGCCCTTCCAGTTGAAGGAAAGACACAGAAGTGTGTGGGAGCTGGGAATTTGGAATGGAGAAAAGGGCAGTGTAATGTATCCAGTCCAGACAAGTCAATAGACAAACGTCGAGCTTCGCTCCAAGAGACAATGGACTATGCGGATCCTAGCCCGCTCCAATCAGGGAGCTAGGTTCCCGGCCGAGAGTCTATGGGACTCTCGGCCACTGTAAATAACCTGTAGGGAAGTAGGGGTGTGTTTTGGGTGGCGGTTTCTCGGGGGATATAAGCCGGCCTGCGAGCCGGCCAAAGTCGTCTTGTTCCTGGTCGAATAAAGTACGCTTTGCTGAAAACACTCTCCGTCTCCGTATTTTTCAGGCAGACAGGGCTGAGGGCTGAGTGAAGCACTCTGGAGTGCAGAATCAATCTCTCTCTCTCTCTCTCTCTCTCTCTCTCTCTCTCTCATGATCTGATGTGGAATAAATGGTTTGCTGCATCCACTTATGTTCTACTTGTATATTTGTAAAAAATAAAGCACATATTACAAGACCTCGTCACCTAATCCAAAGGATCCCAAACCTGAGTACCTTTATCCCTGAAATGTTTCACCATTCAGAGAGGTGAGCAGTGCACTGTAAAAAGCGTAGGATCTTGGGGTTTGGTGAGGCTGGCCTTTTCAGATTTGCTTGGCTAGAACTGCTACCAAATGGAGGGTTAACCCTTTGTGACCCCTGACCGGCTGCCCCAGAACAGTCCGGAGCCTCGGCGGTCAGAGTATTATGTATGACAGAGGAAGTTCCCTAGGCAAGTTCCTTGTCTCCAAAAAGGCATGTGCCTCTCTCGCTTCAAATTTTCCCATACATTAAGTAACGTGAGCTGAACAGCAGGCTGTGTGAGAAGTTGAAAAGAAGTCTCTCAAGGCTGGGATTCAGTTTTTATTCCAGACACAACAGAGACAGACAAATGAGAGGGATCAGGGGAGGGAAATGCAGAACTTAGACAACAAAACAAAATTATATTACGTAGCTCATTCCAATCTGACAAGGTTTTCCAGTCTTCTACACGACAGTCTTCTACATAGACAAGCAAACTATTCCAAGGTGACAGAAGGCCCTTCTTGCTAG